GCTTCACCGTGAGAATGATTTATGCTGAAGGTATTCCGCCTACAAGTAACGAAAATGATTAAAAGAAATGGTTTAGATAGCAATAAACGTTTCCTTTCACCAAAAATAAATATAAGATGGATGATCGCAAATGTAATGGATTTTTCTATTTTTCTTGTGTAATAGTTCAAAGTAGGATCGTTTCGACAAATTCAATCAATTGTTAAAATTTGATTAATGATAATTCACGTGACGGTAGATTAAATTAGAAACGTGCTTTAATTACACCTAGACTTGGGGGTTCAGAGCTACATTTATGTATTTGTCTGAAACTCTTTTTTTTTTTTTTTTTTTTTTTTCTTTAATCAAAGTTTCATATGAAATGTAATTGACTTAAAATAAATAATTTAATCTTATAAAAAGATAAAATGTATAAAATAAAGAACTCATTTCGATACTTTTACATTTCTATTTTTTAATATTTAAAATCCGTAAAATATTTTAAAAGAAAATTGTTACACGAAAATATGAATCATTTTTGAACCAATCATATTTAGGATATTATTGATCTTCGTAATAGTGACATTTTCGTGCTCGTGATTTTGATCGACGCGCTTCATCAATTTTTCAATAACTGATAAGACTTGAATTGCGGATCCATTCTTAATACTTTTCCGAAAAGAACCATAAATGGAGGAAATGATAACGTCGTCCTACAATAAATAATGGTATGACAACGAAAAATTTTTTTTGTATTACTTTTTAGTGAAACAAGGGGAAATGCGAATTGAAGAACAATACCAATTTTTTTTTAATTGTTCGAGCGATGATGATGATATTTAAAATCCATCGATTTTTTTTTTCTTGCATTTTAATTTTTTTTTTTAAAAAAAAAAATTTCTCTAAAAATTCAAAAAAAAATGAACTTCCTAATAATTAAAGTTAGAATCTGGGATTTTAAATTAAATGTACAACACCATATTAACATACCGTCGCAAGCTCTCGGAACTTTATGTTCTTGTCATTCGAAAAATCCCAGGTGCGAAATCGCTGTTAGATCCTGGGATTTTAAATTAAATGTACAACACCATATTAATATACTTTCGCAAGCTCTCAGAACTTTGTCTTTCAAAAAACCTTTTACAAAGTTCATTATTTAATTACGCTTCTTTTCGTTGTTGAAGTCAACAATCAATTTTCTGAATTATTATAAATTCTTGAAAAGGGGGGATGGTTCAAATCCTTTTCTTCCAATAATTCTAATACACTTAACCCAACTCCTTAAATCCCTCCCCCCTCCTTCCAGATTACCGTCTGGCAATCTCTATGCTCATAGTTTATTTTATTTATTTTATTTAAATTTCTTATATTGGTTATTTTTTTAATGTAGAATAAGTCTCGAGAAAAGACTTAGAAACTCTACAATAAACAAAGTTTTATATTCAAATTGTGTAACATATAAAAATGTAAAGTTAACAAAGAAAAGCGTTCGAGTTTAGTTTTACTTTTTACTAGTCTAAAGAACTCTACAATAAACAAATATCTTCTCTACTTCAACTTTCATTTTTTCTTACATAGGATCGAGTTTGTATTAGAATAAATAAAGTCTAGAGATAAGATTTAGAAACTCTACAATAAACAAATTTTTATTATTTTTTTTTTTTTTGTATTTTACAAGTGAATTTTAATTAATTGTTGAATCATTATAAAAATAAACAGTCCATAAAAGATTTGTTAATTTGCTAATCAACCGATAGGTTTTGTATACGTTTATCTACAAGGAATTTTCAAAATATGCGTAGTTTTTTTCCCTCAAACGAATTGTTTGGATATCACTTTACAATTCACTTTTAATTCTTGTTTAACGAATTACTTCTCCCAATCTAACAAATCTAACATCAATCGAAGTCTTACCAATCATCGATTTCTTGGTTAAACTCAAGGCACCACCGTAAATTTTCGAAGTTGGTAACAAAAGAAAGGGAATTATACTGCGGTACTGCGGTTAAAGGAAATCACGTGATGGGTTTCTTATTTCCAGAAATGGCAAGCGTACAATTGTTACATTCACATGCTTCAATACCTAAATGGCAAGTCCGACTAAAATTGATTCTGATAAAAAAAATGCGTATTCAAAAAAAGGATTTTGTTAAAATTCTAGTCTGGCAAGTTCCGCTGCACTGTATGCTTCCGCAAAGATTTACTTAATTTAACAAAATTAAACGTCATTCATTCGTAATTGTAGTGACACAGCAGTTCCTGTAGCACAGGCGCCACGGCGATTTGGAAATTCTAGTATGTGAGCCATTTAACCAATGAGAACTTCCAAGCCACTGCTATTCTTGGATTGCCACGACTAAAACGGTAACGTTCAATGTCAATCATCCACTATCAACATATAATAAGGGGATGCGTGGAACACAACTTCCCTTACAAAGGTAATTATTTACACAAACCCTTTTTTTCATTCAAAAATACATGGCATGGGTTTTTTGTTTTTATTTTAATAATTTTCTTTAATTTTCCAATTTTTTCGCAAATAATCGTAATATTTTAAATCATGTTAAACTCGACTCACGATCAAAAGTTTATAGAACTATGGTTAGAGGTGACTAAACCTCAATCCTGGTCTAGTATAATTTATCTTTTATTCTGGTTTCCATTATGGACTATATTTTGCTTTGCATGGATATTAAGTACTTTTATGATAAGTATCATTTCTTTGGTAATCCCCCCTTTGGGATATTTCATGTGTATAGGATCTGTCATGTCTTGGAGGTAATTTAAATCAATTTGAAATTTTTTTTTTTTTTTTTTTTTCTTTTATTTAATTTATCTTTCCGTAGATCATTGGCGAGGGTAGAATTAATCACGATATCATTTTGCACGAACCCTTCTCGATTTCTTCATGACACCGTTTCAGAGATCGCCAGTAAGAAACCATTACAGCCCATCACAAAAATTTCTCCACAAAGCGAGTTTCAAGGATATATACATTTCGGTGTTAAATATTGTTATAATCAATATACCGTGGATTGTTTACGTTACTTTTTAATAACAAAACCGATTGGGATGCTATTTAATATTGTAATGATACCATTCTTTCTTGTTATAAGCTTACCACCATTTGCATTATTTGGTTTACCTTATACCTGTAAACGTTGTAATATGCGTGGTAAAAGTTTATGTGACGGTGCAAGATCCGTACTGGTGCCTCAATGGAATGCGCCAAGGCCATCAAATCAAAACCAAGGAAACGCATGAAATTCAATTTCTTTTTTAAAAAAAAAAAAAAAAAATTTAAATATTAGAAGGATTAGATGGAAATGAAAAATGTGAAAATTAATTAATTGTTATGCAAGTTAAACAAGTTACATAGATTTACAAAAAAACAAACAAACAAACAATTCACGTAATATAATCTGAAACGTAATTAAATAAAAATTATATCTCAGTTATTTTTTTTTTTTTTCTGATTAAATGTATATAGTAATTTAATTATTTTTTTAAGTCCGAAAATTTTACCCCGTTTTAATTAATTTTTGACAAAAAAAGAATTTTTTTTTTATCTTTGTAATTCAGGAGAAATCTACAGTCGAATTAATTTAGATTCTGGAATTAAAAATAGATAAGTTTTAAAAAAAATTTTAATAAGCAAATGTTCAAGTTTGCATTCAATTTTATTTATTTACCTTTGCATTTTCTTTCAATTTTGATATTGTTTGCGGAATTTGATGGAGTTAGATGATTAATAAAAAGGTTTTTGAGGATTAATTTCGTCCACATTGAGAAATTCGGTAATTCCCAAAGTTTAGGTTATTTACCCAATTTTAATTATATATTTGTTAATTCATTGTGATCAAAGACATTTATTAACCAAATCGATTTAACAAGTTGGTGTTCCTCATGACCTTACCCCATTACAAATTGCCTACGTAGAGATTCATTTTATAAGGAGGATTCTAGTCCAATATCTCTACAATAAAATTACAAATCACAACAACATTGCCTTTACAGAATTGTCAGTTGATGGAGAAAGTCCCACATCATATTGTCATCGGTATGAATTCTTTGTGAATGAATCATAACTTATGAATATCCAACACGATTTTTGTTAAATGGTGATAATCTCTTTTTTCATTTTAAATTTAATCAAGTTCTACATATTTAGCATCATCATATATTCTAATATTTCTAATATAGATTAGAGAGAATGATTTAAATATTCAAATTTTGGCTATGTATAACAAATATTTTGATCTTTAAATAATCCTAATATTCGACCTTGCTTCGGTTACACTATTATAAGAAATTTCAAGTCTCTTAAGCGCAACTTCAACGTAATAATAACTGATCGATCTGTTTTTATTTACAATACAAAATAAACATCGGTATCCATTCTAAATTTTTTGTAACAATCTATTGATTTAAGCTGTATATCACATATTATAAATCGTTTCCCTTCCAAAAATCGACTTTTATCATAAATCTTAATAATTTTAACTATAGTCTAAGTATTTGGGACATCCATCAAATCCTTTTTTTTGACTTTAAACAAAAAATTGATTTAGAGGATAAAATTGACAAAGAAATTTTGATTATTTACGATAAATTAGTGATATTTTTAGGTTTAGATAGTTCTTAGTTTAAGAAATTTTGTAACGATTTATTTTAATAAACGGATTTTGAAAGTACAGAGCAACAACGATGAGACATATTTTGATAATAAATTTAATTTATTAAATAACTAGTACATAATATATACCATTCTTTTGATACAGTAACTCGCATTATATTTGACAAGTGCAGCGGGTTTTTTTTTGTAAAATAACTTGATCATTTTTCCAAATACCAAATCTACTTTTGTAAATAAATCATATTTTATTTTTATTGATCCTACAGATTTCAATGCTGTAAATAATCAATCCAAACTTTAAATTAATGAATTGATAACGGACTTAACTGACGGATTACCCACCTAGAATTACCCACCCGACCCAGTTCCAAAACCCTAAATTGTATTAGTTTGATTCATCGTTAACTTCAATTGTTATCTCACTAATCGTTTTTTCCGACTTTTCGTTTTCAGATTCATAATTCTTATTCAAAAGGATTCTTATTTCATCAAGGCGACTTTCCATTTGTTTTGTAAAATCATCTTTCATATCAATTATTAATTTTTTATAATCTATTGTTTCTTCACGTTCTTTCAAATCGACCAACTTTCTCAATTTATTAGAAATGAATGGTTTATTATCTGATGGAGGACTTTCGATTATTTTGATAATCATTTGTCTGACCTCTTCAATTGGCATCTCATAATATCTATTTATAACAATAAAGTAAAAAAAAAAAAAGTTTACAAATTTAAGAATGCAAGTGAATCATGTCATAAAATCAATAACTTACATCGTATCCGGAAACCAATGATGCCACCTTCGTTGATGTGGAAGTAAAAGAAATAGCTCAATTTCGGCCAAGATCCTTGCTTTTTGAAGTAAAACAAGGGAACTAGCCCTACTTTCTTCAATTTCCAAATTGAGCAATCCAATGAACAAATTCATGAGATAAACCACGATCATGAATGAAAACATGGTTAACAGTATTGCCATGAATGGATTTTCCTGAACTGACCATGAGCTAAATGCTGAAGAATCTCCTGTTAAAAACAAGTACATGGCGAATAACGAGGATTGATAAGTGGAAAATTGATTTACATTGGAATCGGGTTGTTGAACAAATACGATTTCGGAATTGATTTTTCCTTCAGGGGTAACCGATTGATATTTATTGACTAGATTCCAGGGATTATTTGGATCATTATTATTAACAGGTTGCTCTAAATCATAATTTTCATTTGGCGTCAGAATAATGTAGAAAGCATGTGCGAAGCTGATTATTATAAGAAATAAGACGAATAAAAAGTAAATGATTCTCCTAGCCACGCCAATGATAATAGTAAAGTAAGGACCAAAATAACAAAAAGCTCGCAAATATGTCATAAATTTAAAATGTAAGAATAGATTTGATATAGATATCAGTGGTAATGGAGGTTTTTCGTAGAATAACCAGTAAATACTAGTGAATACCGGGAAAAAATATGCGGAAAGATCTAAAACGAAAAAAAAAAATGATTACATGAAAATTTGTCAATTTTTTTTTTTTTTAAAAAAAAAAATCAATTCTTTACCGAACCAATTCCATGGATCAACAATATAAATTTTCCAATTCCAAATAACTTGTCTAAGTTCGTGAATAAGATGAAAAAAACCAAATATAACGCTCATAAAAAAAAATTGATCCCATTTTTTGATAAAACAGATGAAGGCAAAGTTGAAGCAATTCCAAAAGTAAGCAGGAATATGTTAAATAATCCCCAAAAAATGCAATAGTAAAATCTGCCAAAATTGTGCCATTTAAAATTAAGTAATGCCTCAGCGTTCCAACTTTCATAAAATGCTTGATCATCCAAAGTTGTGAATTGGTTTTCTTTTGGTTTTATGAAGTCAGACCAGAAATTATATTTAGGATCATACTTTGTAAAACCCGGGTAAGGGATAACAAAGCTAATAACCCTTGAATGTTGTCCCATTGAAACATGATTATTAAGATAAAGCCGGTGAAACCAATTCCTAAATCTTTGCAAGGATTTATATTTATATATTTGAACAGAATTAACCTGGTCAATATAACCAACCTTCTTCTCTTTAACTGATAGATAAGATTTTTCGATGTGTGGATTTGGAATGAATGAGGTAATGGAAATGAACTTTGAGTAATGAGTAGGAAATTTCAGTTGCAACCTTGTTAGATACTTTGTGATAATGCAACAGATTCTATAATTTTCCATTGTATCCTCATTAAAAAATTCATATAGCCTGTTAAAGATGGTGCCTAAGGTTTTACTTTCTTTCCACACTATAGCATAATTAATGAAGTCATCAATCATTTCTATGAGATACTTTCTTGAGCCTAGAAGCTCATCAAACATGTAAATCCTGTCAGATCTTGAATTAATTCGAAAGAATAAATCTACGCTTGGGTTTGGAAGACTTGTACAATTGCGAAATTCTTCAATACAATGATAAAAATATCGAAGCTCGATCTTATTTTTCGATTCATTATAGTCGAAGATAAAAATTGTACCATTTTTTAATTTATCACTATCATCACTATAAATTACCACATCATCATTACTCAAGATTTTTAGTTTCTTAAAATTAAATCTTAATTTCTTCTCACATAACGCTTCAACATTTTTCTTTTCATATAATGCTTCATCAATTTTATAAACGAACAATTTACCCTCATTATATCTCCACTCCAACTTTTTTCCTTTACAAGTATAATCAAAATCATATGAACAATAGGAGGAATTCTTGATGTCATTGAAACTATAATACATAACCAAGTTGTGAGGATGCATCATCGGATCAGGATAGTTTTTAATGATGTCCTCAGATATGATAAAGTTTATCATCATGATTTGATTCTCGGTGGTAAAGAGAATTTTATATTGTGATATGGGTGTTGGTGCCTCCACGATCATGCATTTTCGAACGTCAACGTCGGGTATATCATATTCATCCTTAAGAATGCATTCAGGATCATAAGGACACATCAGCTCAAAATAAATTTTGCTTTGGCCATCAACTAGTGAATATAATATCAACATTTCAGTTCCGTGGACGTTTATAAATTGTATCGTCACGTCATCACGCTTATTCTCGACTTTTCCTACGCGAGAATCGGTCGGTCAGTACTAATCATTGGCAAAAAAAAAAAATAAATGAACATGATTTCAAACTCACTTATTGAAATTTGAAGTCCATTCTTCATCGAATATACGCAGAAAAAACGGCCTTTCTTTGATTTGAAGTTCATCGCTAATAAATTTTCTTCACGATTTACCACGCACTTCAATCTACGATCCCAATCCTCAACTTTTTCTGGAATGTAATAATAATTTTCGATGATCTTTGTTTCGATGTTTAATTGTAGTATGACCCTTGCGTCATTTATACTTAAAAAAGTTAGTCCATTTATTTGGACAATATCCACGAAATCGACAAGATCTATACCCCAGAGATAGAATTTTGACTTATAAGAGCACGGTGATTTTTTTGATTTTTTTAAAGATTCTCGTGAATAGATATGTAAATATCGTGATTGTAATGACAAAAATTCTCCATCTGGAAGATGATGCAAAGTTGTGTATCCTCGATCAGGAATTATTCTAATATCTTCCAATGTCTCCATATTGCGGATACGATAAGTAGCATAGGCACGTTTGCAGATATACTCCTTAAAAATCAACAACTTGTCGTTTGATAATCCACGTAGTGAAACGTCTCTATTGTCATTCTTGTCTTGTTTACTCAATTCAAATATTCCATCTTCAATATAAACATTCCATACCGTTAAAGAATTATCTTCATTAAGAGTAACGATACATTCCATATTCGGTGAAATTACAAGTTGACCCCAATCCTTGGAAGGTGAATTTTCGTCTTCACTAAATTTACTATTGATAGACATGATGTGTTATATCGCATAAGACCAATTTAACATAATTTATACTGTATACAGAAAGAATACATATCAAATTTATAAATTTTGATAATTCATAAATAAACCGGGGAGAGTCGTTATACCGAGTTCTGAGTGTATATATTCCAGTTTTTTGACGGTTACACGGATTTCTTGTCTATTTTAAAATAATTTAAAAAGTAACTACCCGGAAATTTCTTTGTTACAAAATAAATTTCATTCATCTTATTTTAGAAATTAACTCTATTTATTTTTGGCTAGATTTTTAAATCTAACATAATGAAAAAAAAAATAAAGATCATCAAAATCTCGAGTTACGAACATAGTAAATCGATTTCAATTGCCAATCTCCCATATTACTTGAAGTCGATCATACCAATAAATTCAATTTTTGGTTTA